AATAAGCGTATATTAAGTTTTAAATCAAAAGTAATATAAAAAATATTAATTTTTTTTTAGTTTTCAAGTGAATATAAAAAAAAATTGTAATACAAATCTTACATGTGTCATATATCGAATACATACCAAATATACAGGTTTGTTTATTTTTTCAAATATCAGTGCTTCATAGAATACGTATAATATCAGATGGAAAATTCAGAGAGCATTATACGTACCTCAGGTGTGCTCCTCGGATAGTGAATTGAGCCAGAAATAAGGATCTTACGTTGGCCATCAATAAGGAAAGCTCTTCCATCGTGAGAAACATTAACAGCATTAGTGAGAAGGGCAAAAAGACCGAGAAAATAGAGTAGAGAAAAGAAGATTTTCCCAGAAGCCATAGTGACTTGGAGAGAACAGAGAACGAACGAAGAAGAGAAGAGAGAAGAGAATGTGTGTGAAAATAATAATGCAGAGACTGAAGAGTTTATATAGAAGAAGAAACGTACACTTATCCGACTTTGTTTATATTTGTTTCTTTTTCTTTAAAAAAATAGTAATCTGTTTCTTTCTTTTTGGTTTTTTTTAAGTCCAATTTTAGATAATCAGTTTACGATTATCCTTATGCTTTTGATATTTAAATTTAAAGTGAATCAATCTGTCCTTAATAGTACAAGATGTCAAAATTTGTTGATGAAAGTTCAGCAAATCTTGGCGAGGCGGCGTGGAGGTATCCGACAAAGATTCGGATGAGGCAAAAATTTAAATTTTCTTAGGATATTCTTTTTCTTAATAAAAGGATTATTTATTTTGTTTTCCAATAAAAAAATTGTAAATTTCCTAATTAAAGTATACAAATGAAAATAATAAAATCAATAAAATGTTATAAATTTCTGTGTGTATCCCACAATAAATGCCATGAATTAATTTAATATTCATAGGGGATAAAAAAGGAATGTAAATTGGATCAAGACTACCAAATCAAATGCATTTTTGAGAGAAAATCACATAATCATAAATCATAATGACTCTAGCAGTCATGTAAATATTCAATAATACTACATCAGCAGTTTCACTAGAAAAAGAAAAAAGCTAGAATGGACCATCATGATAGGAGCAATATAGACCATCCTCCTGGTACTAATTGCACTAAAACATTTTTTTCCCAAAATATAAGAGATTGACAACATATTTTTTAATAAATAAACTATTATACCCTTATTATACTAAAAAAAAAGTAGTTATAAATTTACTTTAAAAAAAATTCATTTTTTATTTACAATAATTAAAGACAAAACTGAAATATTACTGTACTTTTTAGTAGATAACCAAATTTTATTAGTTTACATGATTTGGTTGAAAATATCTTATATATAGGGATGGAAGGAGTAATATATACCCTAAAATTTAGGAAAAATGATAATTAAGGACCCCATAAAAATATTAATGACAATTACAAATATTAAATTATTGAAATCTTAACAATAGACCATAGTTTTTATTTGTAATAAAAAAAATGAAATACTCAATTGAAAAACCAACAAAATATACTTAAAATTATTTGTAATATCGATTAAAAATTTATGAGAATTAGTTGTGAATCTCAATATTTTTGCAACCAATATACAAATTAACCACTTGAAAAATCAAGAAAATTTACTAGAGATTATTTTGGAAACTTACAAGAGTAATTTATGAATCGCAAACTAATCACTTGTGATTTTTTATTTTTTGCTGTCAATATATAGATAAATAATATAAAAATCTACAAAATACAATCAAGATATTTGTAACGTCAATGAAAAATTTACAAGAGTCAGTTTTATTATAAATCATAAATGAAAAAAGTAATTTATTGTAGGTAATAACTACAGTTTATTATTGAGATTCAATAATTAAAGATGTATAATTATGATTATAATTTGGTTAACTAATGATGTAGTGGCAACAATCATGATGGCCACTGCGATGACTGTTTAGGCAAACAAAATGCTTTGTGTTAATGCCAATATCCTTGTTAATTAATTCGTATTCCGACAAAGAGTTGAAGAAGGCAAATATTTAAATTTTCTTGGGCTTTTTTTTCCTTAATAAACGAATCATTTATTATTTTTCCTTAATAAAAGGACGTTTTGAAATCGCAAAAAGACTATTTTATTAGAGATTGATCTATCATTCTAGCTAGAATTTGATATGTGTGTGTCTGTGTGATTGGATAAAAATTATATACTTAATTTAATATATTTAAAATACTTATTTCTAATTAAGTCGAGAATTTTCCTAGATATTGTTTATCATAAAACTAATAAACTCCTATTACTAATATTATTAACAATCAAAATTCATTTAAACATTTAAAGTTGGATAAAAGTATATTAAACACATAATGTCATGTACCTTTGGCAAGAAAAAAAAAGCATATAATATTAACTATTTACATCTTCCCCCAAATTAGGTGCATTTTTTTATGAGAGATCAATCCACAAATCCTTATATATTGTCGTAGTTTGGAATAAAGTTTCTATAATTTATTTTGTTTGAATGGGACTCTTATAACAATTAAGTTTCTATAATAAAGTCATCCATTCATGAGAGTACAAATCATTATAACACTATTAATTTTGAAGAGTTGTAGCTGACTGGTAAAATACATGGCTACTAAGGTGGTTACATATTCTATTCATTTAAAAATATAAGATATTTTTAAGAGAGTTAAATATTTAAAAATATAAGGTATTTTAATATTTTAAGGTATAGTTAATGTATTTTTTTTAAAATGTCCTAAAAAAAAATATTTCAACTTTTCAGACGGTTCAGTATTCAAGCATGAGAGAGTGAGAGAGAGAGAGTACGAAAGAGATAGAGTATATGCAAGCATGAAGACAAAGTGAATTAATGCTTTCTGCAACCAAGTTGCTAGTACAGTTTTGAAGTTTATTTATTTAAACTATTTGAAATGTAAACTTAAGGATAAAAATGGAAAGGTAGTGGTAGTTGAAAGATTGTTAACTAATTTCTTAAGGATGAGGTTCCCTTAAAATTTCTTTACATTTATTAATGAAAGAAGTAATTGTGAGGTGGATTAAAATTGTGAAATAATATGCTAGGTGGCTTAGCATTTTATTTAGATGCTTGAACTACATTCCTTAAAATTCAGGGACCAAATTTTCTTTAAGAGGGGAGAGAATGTAATAACATATTAAAAATATTAAAAATTTTCCCACCAATTAATCAGAGGTAGAAGAAATCAACAAGAAATTTAAAAGTAATCTAAACAAAATAGGGAAAATATCAATTGGAGCCCTCCAAATGAAATTAATTACATGCAAAGCCCAATAGCTTCTCAAACGTTTTTGAAGGCTTAAAAACCTCAATTCCTATTAAATTTTTTGGTCAAATTAATGAAATATCCTTTTTTTATACTAAAAATATCCTTGATTTATATATTAAAAAGAACGACCTTTGCCAACGAACGGACCACCACCATGCTGGAGGTCAAACCCCGGCACCCCTTGATCACCCCGAAATGTTGAAAAATATTGAACCAACAAATACTTATATTTATATAGTGCAAATACATGTATCATAATTTCATTTTCAAGCATCTCCATCATTTCTTGTAAATTTTGGATAAATTATTGTTAATACGTAAACAATCAATATTTGAACATCACTCGATAATATTTAAAAGAAAAAGTTGTCAATTTTTCAAGGCTTACTTATTTAATTTTTCTTTTTTAACTTGTTCTTTCAATATTGACGAGTGATTAATATTATGTTACATAAAAAATATATATGTTATAAATTTATTTTTTAAATATTTTTAGGGGTTTTCGTTAATTGTAGACAGGTTGTTAATTTCTAAACAATCACTTGTCAATATTAAAATATGACTTGTTAATACTTAAAAAAAAAGTTGTCAATTTTCAAAGACCAAAACTTGTTCCCTTTTTACAACTTGTTCTCTCAGTATTGATAGTGATCAACATTATTTCAAATAAAAAATATATGTTAAATTCTCTTTGTCTTTAATTGGGGGTAGAAGTGAAAACTTAATGATTTTTAAGATAAAGTCAATGAAGTTTAATGTTTTTCTTAATTTCAGTAAAATATGCTAAAAATAACTTATAAATAAAATCAAGAATAATAATTAAAAACACCATTATGATGAATGCCTAAATTTTGTAAGGTGATACCAATCGCCTATGCATAAGGACCTAGGTATTTGTTTTGGCATTGAATAGCTAGTCCACCAAATAATATTTACCTAGCCTTCACTGAAAGTGCTATCAATTATTTTGAGATGAATACAAACGTACATAAATTGTATGACTAGCAAATATACCTAGAAGTAAATGTAAGAAGTTTAAGGGGAGATTTGTGAGGCATTTATCAAATATACTTCCTTTTCATCCTATGAAACAAATAATCCAATTACACACAACCATTATCTTGTGTTGGATATCATTTTCTTCCAATAAATTGGACTATATGCCTAATACCAATTGCTCCTATAATATTTTTTGAAAAATGGCCTATATATCACAAATCATCTTAGTTTTGCTAACCTTAGACGAGCACCAAATACATTACAAAACGTCTATGGACAGTTTCTATTCTCTACCAGCTCCAAGAACCTTTCTTGTATCATCATATTACCCACCCCATGTCCAACCGAGTTTAAAAACATTACAACCATTTCTTGAGCCCCCATTCTTCTACTTGATTTTAGACCATGAAGCACCAATTCCTTGCGAAGTTCATGAAAGACATCCTTAACCATTCAAAATATCTCATAGCAATGAATAAAATGTTCTAGCCAAATTTCTTGCAGCCATGCATGACTTGTTCCCAAACTAATTCTTTACCTAAATATTTCATCGAGTAATTAGCTACTATTGTAGTGACCTCTTCAACCTCATCTTCATCTTAAAAACGATCTATAAAGAGATTCTTAACTTCCATCCAGTCCTCCATCAATATTGATAAAAATAAGCTAGTTAATGCACAAACACAACTGAAACATTAATGCCATAGTTGATAAGCTAGAACATTAGTAGCATAAAATACCATGCAAGACAAAACTTACATAGTTTTTGTCAGCCAGTTCTTAACAAAGTTCACTTACGTCGCATGGAACTAACACAGAACAAGATGGAAAATAAATCATTTCAACCAAGTTGAAACTATCATACATAACTAAGAAAAGGTGGAACTAAGTTATTTTGGTGGGTTGTAAGCCCCCTGCTTCAAGAAGGCCAATAGCACTCCCCGGTCATCTTTAAGTGCTGAATACATTCCCCTTGCATCCATATTCATCATGAGAGTACAGCACCGTCCAAGCCAATCATCATCATTTGCAATCTCCTCAATTTGTCTGATTTCAGCTATAATTTCACGAACAGAGGATTCAGATGCAAGAAGTGACCGAATAAAAGCTGCTTTTGACTCCTGTGCATCCGCAATTCGATTTAATGAATCAGCTATTTCCCTCGTGACAGGACGTTTCTCCTTTTTCTTCTCTTTATTTTTCTCACCATGTTCACCTCTCTTTCGTTTCCTACCTGAATTGGTAACACCATTATGTGCTCCAATATTGCTTAAATTCGTTTGTTCAAGCTCAGAACCTTCACCTCTCATCCCATGAATTTCATCGTTGTCTCCTAATCCTTCTTGTAAATCCATTTCAAGACTGTATGTATCAGCAGCAGCAAGTGTATATATGTGACCTGTGCTATTATATCCTTGAACGATTCGGTTAATTCATGAACAAAGGGAAGTGGCTTATATATGAATTTCTTATACTCTGGATTCTCCTGCATGCAAACAAGAAATCAGCATGAGATATTTAATGAAAATAATACAAAACATAAATCGTGACAATTAAAATTTCATACCTTAATCTTTTGTAAAGCATGTAAAATCACCCGAATGCAAGTATCATTGTACTTTATTCTATAGTTAAGATAAAGTTACTGGTTTGTATCCATCAACCGCGAAGCACCAACAAATGATAGCAAGCCAGAGTCATCTGGCCTCAAATTATAACTATTAACAGCTACTTAAAGTTTGTTTGTTGTATATCAACACACTAATAGGTGCGAAAGAGAAGCAGAGCTATCCATCCAGTAACCTTCTGCTATATGGCTATGCAAAAAATGAATATTTTTGTGCTGGTTCTCTGGGAGTCAACCCTTTGTGCCCAACAAGAACGTGCCTTGCTTAACTCTATGACTATCTGATTGCTTGGACTGATCAGTAGGCCCAAATGCAGGCAGAACCCAGTAACATTCACATTGATAGGTGGATTTTCAGGGCAAGAACGATTCCCCCCCTAGTGAACATTGGTTCCCTGGGCATTCATCAGTGTAGTTAAGCAATTTCTAAGAATTTTCCCTACTTCTAATCTTTTAAATTTCTCTGTTCTGACACATTACCTTGTCTAGTTGCTGTGTTTGCATCATGTAAGTGTTTGGGTGTAACAGCAACTGCCCTCCTAGGCTCCTACATCATAGAGGTATTTATAATATCTCTCTCCTTTGAATCCCCATTTAATTGTATACCTTTCTTTTGCTTCTACAACTTAAATGCCTAATACTCAAGCAATTCAACCCAATCACCGATTCAAAAAGAGAGAGAGAGAGAGAACAAAAAATAGGGTAAACTGATTGTGCGTATAACGACTTTCCTTGTTTCCCCAAAAATGGACCATGAATTCTGCAAAAAATTTACTACCCACAAATCAAGACGAAACATTATAGATGAAGCCTTAGTTAGACTTCACCATTGACGACATGAAACAGAAGCGAACAGCATAAAAGTCCAGCTGACATACCCAACGCAAGTACGAACCGATCAAAATCAATACAATAATTAGATTGTGTCTTGCAAAAAACAAACAAACAAACAAAGAAAAAAAAAAGAAAACCCTGAGATCTGTGTGTTGCAATTACACCTGGTTTCAATCCGAGGGAATGTGGTCATTAAAAATAGACCATAAACCTCACCCATTTTTCCCACGCATTCGTAGCACATTTTATTGGACCAGAAGGATCAACATCATTCATTAGCCCTGAAGAGAACAGAGGAAAGAACCCTATATAAACACACTGGAAATTGGAATGCAGCGAACATCAAAGAAGAACAACAAAATAATCAACAAACTTCATAATCAGCAGCAGCGACCATCAACGATCAAAATTTTGGACGAAAAAAAATTTCAGCTACCTATAACAGATCAGCAAGGACCTACGCCAAAGGGAAAGAATGGAAAATTTCCTAACACCAATTACAGATCACAACTATAGCATCGTTTACCTCACACTTTAGGCTAAAGGCGAAGTCAATCTGAAGCAGAAGGGCGACGCTACTGTGCACATCGTGCTCGTCAAGGAAGAAAGCAGAAGGAAGAGCTTGGCGACGGCGTGTCCGACGTCGCGAGAGATGTGAGGGAGGGTGAGGGCGCGGGCGCAGTATGGGAAAGTGGTGCTCAGGAAAAAATGTGGGACCTCTAAGAATATTAATATTTATCCGTTTTAATTTATAAAATACTTTTAAAACAAAAATTATAAATAAAATAAAATTTATTAAATATATTTTTTGCTAATATTAAACCTATTTTGCAATTTTATTTTTTAAAATAAAAATATAAAATTTTGCATTTGTCCTTTATTTAAGGGCTAATGAATATTTTAAAATTTAAATTATTACTCAAATAATATCATAAATCCTGAATTTTTAAAATGAATATCTTAAATTTCAAATTATTCCTTAAATAACAAATTACCCCCGGCATCTAATTAACATATAATGGTCATTATTTTTTATTTTATAAGCTCAATCAAAGGCTGGTGTGGCACTAATTTTCTTTTCACACATAACATGTTAGTTGGGCTATATAATGATCAACATTACACAAAAAAAATGATGGAGGATAATTTGCTTGGAATTTATAAATTAAAAGGAGTTTTTGTTCATTTCAAGAGTTCATAGTTCAAGATGCTCATTAACCATTTATTTAATATTCAACTTATAAAAGAATATTAAAAGCAGAGAACATATGTGAAGAGTAATATTAAAAAAATATTATTAATGAAATTTTATTTTTATCAAAATTTTTTATGTTTTAAGACACTAAATCTCCTCCAAAAATATTTTATAATTTAAGATAAATAAATAATAATTAAGGATCTTTGTATGTGAATGACAAAAAAGGATCATAAAATGTGATAATTTCTTTGAAGTTTTAAATATTTTTCCGAACATTATATTATATTTTGTAAAATGATTCTAATGCCACTTAATTTAAAATTAAAAAAACATAATTAGCTTGGTCTTCCACTTTTAGACGAAGCCTAAGATCCATTTTTGCTCTTCTTGTTTGTGCTACCTTGCAGAATTACATCGCATGAGCCGATTGGCAAATGCGTGATGCATTGCATGATGAATGCATTGAAGCACTTTGATTAGGCAACATTTATATTGAAATTTTGTAAATATTAATATTTAAATTACTTCTTACACTTTTTTTTTATATTAAAGTTGTGCACGGGATTCAATCTATCTAATTTATATTAGAAAATTTGTGCAATAAAACAGATTATATGAAAGTATTGAGGAAAGGGAAGAAGGATGGCACAAAATGCTAGAGGACATTTGTACCTTTTATCAATATAACAAACAAAATAAAATACTTGTCCCATTTGACATGTTAGAATTCAGAACATAATTGAAAATGGTTATGAAATGGGAAAAACTATTAGTTTGGTATGGATGGATTTGATTTTCATGTGAAATTAAATTCCACCAAAAATGGTTGAATAAAAAAACCCATCGAAATGAAATAAGTTTCATGAAATTGTATCATTAATAAAATTTTAAGACATATTTGTCCCTCAGCCACAGCCAATTTTTAAAATTTTCTCAAGATCTGTTTGGTTCAAGGGAGGCACCCCCCCAATTTGGAGGGGAGGGGCTCTCATTTGGTTAGAAGGAAAAATTTCCCCTCCCCTTCCCTCCGAACCAAACAGGGCTTAAGGCTTCTTTTGAATAGAGCTAGCTTTTGCTACAGTGTTAACTTATATTTCTTTAGTTTTATTTATAAGGTAGAGAAAAAGAAAAAAATTTAATCCTATTTATAAAACACTTGACAATTTTTAATATTAATCTTTATATTTTTACCCTTATTAAATATTTTGAATAAAAATACTAATAATAAGATTTAAAAAATATTTATTAAAAATAAAGATGAAAACTTATTAAATTTAAAAAAATTAATGAAGTTAAATTTTAAAATAAAATTAATGAGATTTAAAATTTTTTTAATTTTAATAAAATATATTAAAAATAAAATAAGAGGGAGTGCATTGTGTTTGACTCACCCTTTGACTTTGCACTACGTGAAGCTCCAATTTTTAAAATTTAATTTTTTTATCATTAATTTTAATATTTATTCTCTTCCAGCCCCCAAGGATCTCTCCCTTACCTAACCTTATTCTATCTATTTATTTTTTATTTGTCGTGTGAGTTTAGAGTTTTTGAGCTCCCTCATTCGCTCCCTGCAAACGTGTGTGCGTGTGTACGTGGAAAGTAAATTTGTGTTGCAAAGTGTGAGGCAGGGGAGATGACGAGTGTACGATCATCTCCATATGACAAAAGACAAAGAAATCATAGCCAGATGCGCCTTTCTAATATCGAATTCCTCCAACTTCATTTCAGATGTGGTATAAGTACCGGCATCAGGTAGAGTTGTCAATATGAGAAAACCCACAAGCTAGCTTACAAGTTATGAATTTAACAAGTCAAGTTGACAAAACTCACATCTTATGGGTTATATTTTTGCCTGTATTAAACATTTTGTTAGGGGTTAAATGTTAAAAAATATAAAATATTTTTAGTTTTTTGAGGTGAATTCATTAGCTTTTTTTCTTCAAAAGTGACTCTATTAAAGAATGACTTTATTTTTATTATAGGGTGTTTAATAAAAGTAAATATGAAAAGATAGGGTTAATTTGAAAGTAAGTAACCACTTAATTTATTAAATAGTGAGATTCGATTAAAAATGTCTTACTTTTTTAAGAGAGGGAGTATTTTTTATACTCCTTTTGTTAAAAAATGTAAAGCATTTTTGAAAGAATTGGATGTTAAAAAATGTAAGGCATTGTTAATATTTTGAAGTGTAATCATAATCTTTTTTTCAAAAGTATCCATACTAATAGTGACTTTATATTTATTATAGGGTATTTAATAAGGGTAAATATGAAAAGATAGTGTTAGTTTGAAAGTAAGTAACTATTTTATTGAGGGTTGAAATTCAGTTAAAAATGCCTTACATTTTTTAATGGAAGGAGTATTTTTTTCTAATTTTGAAAATTACAAATTGACTTCTTGTTTTTTTTTTGTGGTAAAAAATCATATTTTCTCCCTAAAAACTAATCATTCAAATAATGAAAAAAATTCTTTCTAAATCATTACAAAAAATACAAATTGAAAATATATTAATAGTCTAAAATAAATATATATCAATCACAAATAAATATATTAAAAATTTTAATTACAATTCAAAATGAAGATTTTTTCTAATCAATTATAATGTTAGAAGCTTCATCAGAAACTACAATAACATTAATTATGCTAGATCATCTCAATAGATAGTTTTATTGGGGAGATCTAATGAATCTTTAATTTAGCATAGATGTGTTTAGATTAGTAGCAAGACTGAAGTTAAAATAAAATTAATGATTATAACATAATTTTTGTTGTCCAAATGAAAATTTATAGAAGTTAATTAGTATAGCTAGGCAATGAAAATTTATTCTTCATTTCTTTGTTGTCCAGATAAAGGCTTTCTACCCTCAAGTGAAGGTTAATTAGTTTAGTTGTTAAGGATATGTCTCGGTTTTGGACAGTCCAGCTTAACAAATTTTATTTTATATTTTATTATATAATTATTAAAATAAAAATTATAAAAAATTAATAAATTTATTTTATTATCAATTTAGATAATATAGATTTAATTTTATGACCCAATTCAATATTAAAAATTTTTAAAATTTTTATAAATTAACTATCCAAAATTGCTTTGGATAGTTCAATTTTAAAATTTTAATGAATTTAAGAATTTAGATTGATTTTATAATTTCTATCTTTTCTTTTTAAATAATAAGTCAGCTAACTTGTGAGTTCAAAACCCGCCCACATAAAAATAAACCATTTTTTTTTTCCAATCCATATTTTTTTGTGGGTTGGTGGGTTAAGCCTACAAGCTCAACCTATATTACCAGTTATAACATTAAGTGAGGGCTCTGACTGGCATTCAATTATGGGTTTTTTTTTTTTCATGCTCTTTTTTTCCCCCTCTCTTGTCATGTTTCTTTCTTTCCTCTTCTAATTCTTTTCTCACAACATGTATTTCATTTGCTCCATCTTCTGCGACTGTGTTCGCAGAAACAAGGCGCTGGCATCTGAGGACGAGATGAGCTGTGTGCAATACTCCAATTGTCTACTGAAGTGGAAACTGTTTGAAGACCAAGAAGAAACTTAAGTTTGTTTTATTACTAGAAATGAATGAAATGAAATGAATTAAAAAAATAAAAACAAAAATGAGATGACAAAAGAAAAAATGAATCACATTCATAAATGAAAAAGGTAATTTAGTTCATGGGTTGAGAATCATGATTCTTAAAATTTTTAGAGGGTGTAGTGATTCTCACATTTATAGAACATATTAATGAGTTCTATTATACCTACTATGAGGAGAAAGAATGACTTAGTTTATTTTTGCATTGATTTTTTAATTAATTTCATTCCATTTTTTTTAATAACCAAACGTTACCTTAATCACTCACTGCTAAGGAATAACATAATGCTAACGTTGTGAAGTGTTGCTGTCGAAATCAAGATCAAGCCTCTCCTGATAAGTCAGAAAGCCCCAATTTTTTAGTGCCTCTCTTGATGATCTGTCACTGGCCACGGCAATCTATTTATTTTAAGGACATACTTTGGATAATTCCTGATTTTTTTTTTGATGCACTTTTCACATAATGAAAAGAGCACTTTTAAGATTTTTTTTTTTGCCAACAGCACTTTTAAGAATATAACTAGACACAAAATAACTACCGGTTTATTTCTATATGTCTAACAAATCAATTTTTAAGAAAATGTATAAACCTTTGAAATCTTATAAAAATGATTTGTTTTATTTTTTTCAAATAATTAATCACATAACCTGATTTTCTTCCGCATCATGTGGAAAGATAAGACAAATTATGTTGAATGATGCCATCTTGTTTGAGAACGGAATGATTCATGAGTATAAGCTTGCAAAGGAAGAATTGTAAAGGGAAAGAATAAATAACTCATACATACAAGAATGTGTGAAAAACTCATGCACTTCACTATTTAGATTGATGCTTTACATTGGATGGTAACACAAAAGCAAAAAACACAAATGTCGACATCTTACATTTTTGCATTTAT